AAAAATGCTGGCTTTCTTCGTGTTAGCTCATCTCATACATATCTATCTTCAGCTGCTGCCCAGTACTGTGGTGCTCTGCATTAACTACACAGTGGATCAATAACAATTACACCTTCTCAAAAACATGACACATAGCAGGATTGGGTTGACATTTCACTTAGGCCAACATTGATCTCAGTGCATCTGATTCCAGTCCTAAATTCAAGTCAGGCCTGGGTCTAGCTGGAATAAACACACAGTTAAAAACAAAAAAGGAAACCAGCTGCTTGTGCCTTGGCTCAGAAGTAAACAGCACATCCATCTGTGCATCCCCCATCTCCAATCCACTATTCTTCCTGTTGCTACTAGTGATTCTGAAGTTGATCAAAGACTATTTTTTATATGAATTACTCACCGTGACATCAATGTTGATAATATCTCCATCCTGAAGAGGTCGACTGAAACATAAACAAAAACCAAAAAAATATAATGGTGACAGACAGTTCCCAACAAAGGGAATATAAGAATAAACACCTAATGACACATACATAAAAAATCAGGAGGTAGATGCTGTATAATGGAGGAAGGCAGAGACAAACAGAATAACCATTTTTAATGTTCAGCTCTCACTACTTAGAGAACAAGTGTAGCTGAATATAAAATAGTAAGAATCAACTACCAGAAAAAAATATCAACACCTGAAAAATCTACCATTATATTTATTCTTTTTCTCTCACTAGGGTTCATATTTTACTTTGTGACTAGTTGACTGTATTGCAAATAAAAAAAAAAGCCCACATAAATTCAAATCTATTTATTCCTTACCCTATACTTATTTTGCTGGAGGAAAAAAAAAAAAAAATCACACTAAACTCTAAAAGCATTTTGCTATTTTTTTTAAGTATCTGGATAAAAAGGATAATATTTTTTTTTTCTAGTTCACATACATTTCTATAACATCTATCAGCATTGCATGCTAACATGATAAGCATCTACAATAGGTTTACAAAGGACATTAAGTTAAGCTGAAGTATGTTCAATATTAAATATAATTTATTAATTTCAGTTTAACATTTTCATTCCCGGTGGTAAAATGTATATTATTGGGGAAATACCTGTCAGGAATACCATGACATACCACGTTGTTTACAGAAGTACAAACAGATTTTGGAAAACCTCCATAGCCCAGAGGTGATGGATAGGCATTCTGTCTGATTATTTCATGATGAACAATGGAATCTATTTCTTCAGTTGTCATGCCAACCTAAAATATCAAACATAACATCCTGTTAAAAAAGCAGAGAGAGTTTCTCATATTTACTGAATGTGATTGCAGCCAAGAGTTTCAATGAAATCTTGGATGTTTCAAATATACTGCTTTGATACAAAACACTAAACTCTATTTTGGACTTTTTTTTCTTTTTTTTTTCTTTTTTTTTTCTTTTTTTAAGAGAAAAAGGTTTTAAATAAAGCGTGCAGTAGAAACAAGCACTCAAACTGTTCCTAGAAGGTTCCTAGAAAACCTAAATACTGTCTACTTTCTTGCCATTCTTTTTTCCACATTTGCTTTCTCAAAGACACCAGTTTTCTCTGGCATCTTGTTTCAGTAGCTGCCACAGAAATGTCTGGTTTCAATGCCTTCAGTCCTTTAAAATGCAACATTACTTTCTCTTTTTATTTGTAAAAGAAAGGATCTTAATTCTTGTAACCACCCAGTACATTTATCATAATGTACTTGTGCATTTTATGAAACTGTTTTCCAAGCATTATTTAATTTTATAAAATATTTAAATATTTGGCTTCATATCTTGAGCATATTTTACTTAAAGCTGCCATAGCCTGAATGATCACAAGGAATCTACAAGTGCTTATCCACCATTTATGCACTTGATGATTTCTAGCTTCCCCTTTTTTTCATGATTTTATATATTGAAAAAAAAAACATTGTCACAAATCATTCAGCCATTTTCTCAGTATCCATGGAGTGGAAAATGCACACGCTTGAAATAACATTCTTCTTGCTTTTCTTTTGTATTGAGTCTGTCTCTGGAATGGTTAGAGCTGAAATTTTAAATTTGGTAGGGAAACCTCCCTCATTGAGAAGAAGTGCCTTTGAGGGTTCCTCTGCAAATTGATTTTGATTTGAATGAGTTTTGAGCCTTTGAAAATCATACTTCGTACACATACACTACAGTGGCTGTGATTTTGGAGGACTTTTTAGTAACACGTGGAATATAGGGAGGCTGTGGCGCAGGAGGCATATTTATCCATATATTGAAATATTCAGTGATCGTGCATGGTGAATACAACAAAGTGCACTTGTGTACTGTGCTGAGGATAAAACCAGGTCTATTTGCTCAGCTTGCATCTTGTTCAGTACAAAAATGTGGCTGGGCAGATGAGGAGTGATGAACCCACTCAAGACTGGGATTTGGGGTTACTGTGCAAACCCCCTGCTTTGCAGCAGCTGTTGCAGCCTCTGCGCTGGGATGGCAGCCGCAGCCCTGGCATGCTGTCTGCATTGGACACTGCAGCCATTGGTTCTGGATAAACACAGGTTTTGCTCCTGCCTTCACTCACTATCATCTTCAGCCTACAGACAAACTGAACAGCTATGTACCAGACTGGGTGCTGTCTGCTGCTGCTGTGCCCAAGGAATTTGACATGGCTTTTGGACACTCGGCAGACAGATCTATGCTCCTTGCATGGGAGGCTTACGTGCTGTGAAAAGTTCTGCTTTTAACAGTATCTGCCTTACCTTTAAAGGAGATTTTGCTAGCTGGGCAATGTTAAGGAGGCATCTGCTATGCACCTCACCCCTTATTTGAGACATGGCAATGTGGTGGCATCTAACAAAATTCTTCTATGAATTGAATTTGCTGGTTTACTCCCAAATCTTTTCCTCAAACACAGTAAATGCTATATATATAATACCATGTTGCATTTTTAAGTCCCATGGGCAGTAAATGGTAGTATCAAAACTACCCTCAGCCCAAACTTTGTCCCTCTGCATGAATGCATTGTAATGTGTCTTTGTTGTACTGGAGGATTGTTCCTGCCATTAGCTGAAGCACAGGTTGAGAGCTGGTTGGAGGGGTGCGTGCAAGGTGGGTTCAGCAAGACAACAGGGACAGACAGAAGGATGGGGATCTTCAGATAAAATAGGAATGCAGAGTTTACCTTATGAGAATAACCTAAAAGAGCTCAGTTTGTTTAGTCTGGCGCACTGAAAGCTGTAATAGCTCTATTACTGCATGAAGGGGAAAGACTCAAGGAAAGGCAGGAAGCTGTTTAAATTAAAGAGTGGAGTTGGCCAAGAACAAATGGGTATAAACTGGCCATGCACAGCATCAGACTGGAAAGCAGAAGACACTCCCTGTCGATGATGGAGGGTTTGGGGCATCCTCCCAGTCAGGGCGGTCTTGGCCAAACACTTACCGATGTAAAACAGAGCTCATCCCATGTCTGTGGCTGACCTGGGCAGTGGTCTTGGCACTACAACTCCAAGTGCCACCTCCCTCCCAGTCCACAGCTCCTGGTCATGTAAACCTTACCTTATACATCTTCTTGCTCCAAAGTGTATGTTACATGTACGTAGTATTTTGCTATTATGTATAGTTTGGCACATACTATGAACTGCATCATAAGCTACAACGTGCTGCATATATATGTATTTTACACATGGTAACAATCAAAATATATCAGCAAAAATGCTCTCATTCATACTCCACATTGCACCCTGACCCTTTAGACACATACCCTTAACTTTGCATGAGTTACATGAGTTTTACCATACTGGGAACTAATTGCACATAAAGAAGTTAAACACGCATGAACATATGTAAGATTAAAGCTTCAGGCTGTTTTTTTATTGGCCACCCCAGGTCCAGAATTAAACCCCTGGGAAAGTGTGATGAGTAGTTGAAAGAAAAATGCATAGTAAACTGGTAATTTTTTCCTGTTTTAAGTCAATGGCATTGACCTACAGTCCCCATCTATCGCGGCATCTCATAGCCACTCAACCCATTCTACCCTATCCAGTATGCTATTACATGAAATACCAAGGCAAGGCTAAAAAAGCACTCCTTCATCTGCAAAACCTTGTAGTAGGCTCCTCCCAGTACATTTTAACTTGGGAGGTATCCCAAAAAGCATACTGTAGAAACATTACTGGAAACCATGAGGCTTTATTATTGATGCACTCTGGAAAATTTTGTGGAATTTGGCAGCTGTTTTTTCCAACAGCAGCTCTATGACTTGTATGGTGCTGGATCCTGTGGGACAGCAAGGGGCTGAAGGATGGATGGGAATGGAGAAGGCAGCCCAGCCCTTCAGACTTGCACACATCCAGAGCCAGAGAGCAGGACATATCAGCAAGACGGGCCATGAAATGAAAGGAAAAAATGTAGCGTGGGTCTTATGAGAAACTCACGTGATTTGGCGCAATCCAAAGAGAGGGAGATTACAGACAGAGACATATTACGGCTGAGCCAGCTACTCACTCTAAGTACCACATAGGTCCGAAATACAGAAATAATTAAACGGGCATATCATGGACTGAATCAAAGTTAATAAATCCTTCTTTTTCAGGATCTAACTTAAAGTTGAATGCACATTAAGGGAAAGTAAAAAAAACCAAAAATAGATAAAAACCCCAAATAAGTGAAAGCATAAAACACATCCAGGCTGTTATGGGACTTCTGTAATTGTTACCTTTAAGCCCTTTCCAGCCAGAAGCAGGACATGACGGGCCAATCGACAAGCTTGACGAAGCCCTTGAATCTGATCTTCATTCTTAATTTCTATGTCGTCTCCCCAGTCTGGTACAATGCCTGTCGTCACATAGTCTGGCTTCTTTATGTGCTTGGAGAAAAAGGATTGAAAATGAAGATCAGAAAACTGAGCATGACAATGGGATCATTTTCTCAGATACTGCCTCCTGCTTCATGGCAGCTTGCCCTTTCTGTCGTAGTATTGACCTTCCTAAGCCATCAGGGCAAACCCTCAAGGCTGCCTCAGTATTTCTTCCACTGCCCTTTTGAACTTAACATTGCCTGTTACTACTGACTTATACAGTCTGTTAACCTTCCAGTGCTGAAACCCCAGATTCTGCAGACAATTTCCAGCACAGGCAATCACAAGTTTTGAAACTGGGAGAGACTTAAAAACTCTTCATTTTCTTTTGCAGAGCGGCGCATTTTCTACAAAAGACATCTAAACACTGGAACTGATGGGACAAACATACAGAGTTAGGCTCAAAACCAAAACTGATAAAATCCTTCATTTCTCGCTCTGATGAAACTCTTGTTAACTTCCATGAGATTGTTTTTTTACTAAGAACCTTAATATTTAACTTATTTTAATTTAGAGTTTTTACTTACTAATCTAATTCACATGCTGCCCATCTACAACACTATGCGAGGGTATCTCAATTTGCTCTGTCAAGGGAAGTGTAATAAGCTTTCTTTTTTTTTCTGCACAGAAAGTTCTCAGTCCTCATATAGAGGTGAAATTTCACTTCTGCCTTTTTAAACTCCACAGTAATTTCTTGACAAGTGTATGAACACAACAGACTAATAATAATGGTAAGATCTTGCACAGAGATGGAAATGCCCTTTCTCTCGGAGGGTCCTGGGCTGTTTCACTGGCTGGGGAAGAGTCCCTCGCCCACCACAGCCAGGCTGATTCTCTGCCATGTTGGCCATGGAGAAAGTTTTGCATTGACTTCACAAAATAAAGAATCAAGCTGGCAGGCAAAAAACAAAGTGGAAGCTTGGGCTGTACACAGCAAGACCATACAACATCAGGGTGTAGGAGTAAAGAAGAGCAGTGCAATCCATTAGCTCTAGGGGGACTTTAAATAGTAAGACTATTGTTACTCCTATGGGAATTTATTTTCTACTCTGATAAAAAGGTAAACTATCTTCAGTGGGTTCATGTCAAGAGAATTTCAGATTTACATTTTGTTCAAATGAATGGCATTATCAACCCTAACAACATCCTATCACAGTACTCTGGGACTTAATTTAGAAGAAAAAATAAAAATAAAAAAAAATATATATGCTGTATTAGCAACTCCATACACAGCAGCACCCTTGCTTTCCCCTTGGAGGGCACTTATCTAGTAACTGCTGAGACCTGGCCTGCTGACCTGTAAGAGCTGTTAAGGGAGAAGCCCAAAGCAGTGTACATACAAGTCTATGTATACAGTTCCACAGCAACATCTTGAAAAAACCCATGTTATTTCAATGTGATTTCTGGCAAACTTTGTATAAAGTAACAACTTTGCCCTCAAATTTTCAGAAGAACCGGATTGATTTTTAGACAGTCTGAGAACTTTGACCTATGAAGACAACTTTTCAGCATGACAATATGTTTCTCCCGCTTTATGCTAAAGGAAGCATCGAAATCCAGAAAAAAAAAAAGTTTCTAAGTTCTACAATTTTTAAATCTCTGAAAAATATTATAAAGTGTGTAAACCTATGTTTTCCCTGCACACAGAGCTTCCACAGACTCTTAGGTGTAAAAGCCCTACATCCAGCATCCTTATCTGCTTTCCTAAATACTTTTTAGTAATTCTGTCCCATGGAAATACTCTATATTTTGCATAAAATATCTATAAAAAAATGAAAAGTAAAATTTTAAAAAGTACTAATACACATCCTGAAAAGCACTGTTTAGAAAGGGCACTTTTGCTTTCTTTCAGCTAAAGGAAAGATACTAAACAGTTAATCTGTAAGATGTAGTTAAATGGAAAAAAAAAAAAAAAAAGAAAAAAAAACCAAAACCAGAAGTGGAACAGATGTTTAAACTGCATGAAAAAGTTCCTTTTGGCTCTAAAGTAAAGAAATACAAAAATATATGTTGCAAGAAAAAAAAAACACTCAGGCACACTAAAGACAAGTTTAAAATGTGCAGTGGGGTTGCGGGGCAGCTACCGCAGGTACTGTATGTTCTCTTCCTAAATCTGACATAACCAATTAACAGAACCTTGAGCAAAATATAAACATTTTTATAATTAGCTTACTGGAGATTTATACAGAAAAGGACTCAGATGATCACAAATGGTAGGACCATCTGTAATTGTCCAAAACGAGAATCTGGACCCATAAGTGTAAGTATTGACAGCTGATTACACTATCCCACATTTATACTACCATAACTGAACAAGCCCCAGGTTCAAACTCCCTAATAACCAGACACACCACTGTGTTTATCATGGTAGGCAGCTGAAAACTTCTCTCATCAGTGCTCCTATTTCAAATACCAGACCAAGCAACAGGACGGTGATCCAAACCCCCAGCTGTCGGTCAACAAACACACTTGATCACTCCTCCAGTCAAACTCTATATTGACTGAAGAACAGATTAGATAATAGAAATTGCAGTACCTTAGGAACTGGGTGAGCTGGAGAAACCGTGGCTGGACAAACTATACTATAAGCACTATTTCTCTGTCCCTGAAAAAAGAAGCATCTTCGCTGTTGATTGCTTGACTGCCTGTGCAGGTAGATACGATTGCACGAAGAAATGATTACGTGGCAGCCAGTCACAGAACCTGTTAACAGATAGGACAAAATGGTTAGCATTTTTTTCTACTACCACATTGCAGAATGGAGAGTATGCAAAAAGAAGGGCATCATGTAAAATAAACCACAGAACCCATGCAGTAGCCAAGGATAGTTCAGATTGTTCAAACCTTGTACCGTTAAAGAAAGAGCATTAACACTGAGAAGCAATGAGAACAAAAAAACCTTCCCAAACAATACTTTGAAGCTTTATAAAATACCAGATCTGTTTTAGTTCGATGCATTAAAAAGCAGCCTGGGTAAATTCCCCAAAGCTTACAGCCAGGAGAGGTGCTCCAGCTGGCCCCTGCTTGGAGCTATTTGCACAGCTAGAAGCTGCACTGTTGCAAGGCTTGGGGAAATGGTGAATAAGGGACAATAGCAAGAAAAGAGGACAGAAAAAAATGATTTAATGTTAATTTCAGACAATATTTTCACCTGTATTTTTGCAGAATTGGTCACAGATTTGAGTACAATATTGCTAATGTCATTTGTGCCAAGACACAAGGAACAGGGTTAAATTTGTCCTGCCTAGCAGGGCAACACAACAAACTTCAAGAAATATTTTTAACCTTGGCCAAAGACAATTTAAAGGATTAAATTTTGTAATTGACTTGGAATATTTGAATCAGATTTCCACTTAATTCACATGGGAATTTGGGATGAGAGTTCATCAGAGTATTCATTGCCCAAACTTAGTTGTCGGGTAATGACACATTTTGCCCCCCCTCAAAAAAGAAAAAAAAGGAAAAAAGGAGAAGAAAAAAGGCATTGAAGCCCAAAGGTTGTCAGAGTCATCAAAACCAAAACAATGCATCACAAAAGAGGTTGCTAGCATCAAAACTGGGAAATACACTAACTTCCAAAGGATTATTGACACTGCCCAATTAAACTACAATTACATGTAGCGCATATTTCCATTACTCAAACATCCTACAATCTAAACAGAGGGGTTTTTGAAAAACAAGTTTCAAAAGTTAAGTTAAATAAGTTAATCTGCTTCTGAAAAATGTCATATGTATACAAACACAAGAGCAGTGTTTTGTGGCAAATAACACATATGAATAACTACTCTTTAGTAAAAAGGAAGTGTTTTCATTTAAACAGAAGTAACTAAACATTCTTACCTCACAGAAACTAAGAAATTAATCTACTGCATACTTTGTAACTACATAAATATGATTTTTTCTTTTTAGAATAAGAGTTTCTTCCATATCTTGTATACTTTAATTTTAGGGTACCTTTCTTCCTTTCCTTTGGATGCATTTATCATGTCCAGATGCAGATATTATCCTTCCATATTCACACTTGGCTTCATAGACAGCCCTTTTACAGCACTCCATGATATACAGGAGATTTAAGTTACGCACCTTTTCTGGAGCCCCAAAACCCAGAATGAATGAATAGTTGCATGGGACTTGCTTTAGAAGCGCCCCTGTCTCTTTGCACACTGATCAGTGCTACATTTACTTATCGATATCTGAAAGGTTGTAAAAGCTTTTACTCCATGCAAGCAAATTTTTACTATTTTTTTTTAAATTGTTGGTAACAAGGCCAGAGCTGGGGAGTGAGGCTCAGATCAAGCTCTCAGGATAGGTTAGGAAGTTACTGGCTTCAAAAGAGAAGATAGTGTCTCCATGGAAGTGGAGCTTCCCAGTTAACAGAGGGCTGGATTGGTTTGGTGGTGTTTTAATTACAATTCAATCAACAATCTCATTATCTACTGCTTTTCTAGGGTCTCCTTCACAAGAAAAAAATCATTGTTTAATTAAAAAAAAATTAAAAATCTGGACCATCTATCCTGTACAGTGTGTAAGTGCATCCAAAGAGTTCAGAGCATCCTACAAACACCTTGCCTAGTTTGCACCAATTTCTGGAAGCTGGAAGCACATAATCTGCTGAGGCAGCAACTTTTGGGCCATCAGAAGTAGCAATCAGTCCGTCAGCATAAGCGAAGGTAGCTCTTTTACCAAGTGCAGTGAAAGTACCTTGCTCTTAGTACAGCTGAAGGTATTATAAATACACTGAAAACCCACACTCGCTGATGTGGTCAGCTCCAGTCCACGCGGACATCAATATGTGAACATGTATCTCAAATGTTCTCCTTGACACACGTCATGCTGTCTACTGTATAAAAGTTTAATTGGGGAAGAAAAGGTGCAAGTGTGCTTGCCAATTATCTGGCAGTATAACTCCAAATGTCCCAAATACACACTCTTAAATATATTAAACCAGTTTATACTCATGGGTGCATGCCTATCGACTATCCCACATTCAGAAGCCATAACTTTTTATTTGGAATAAAATTTTTACCTCTATTCTCCCAAAGATACACTGTAAGTGTTGTCACAAGGTAACAGGATAATAAGGTATTGTAGTCTGTTGTTATTCTACTAACTATTCATTATAAACCAGACGTGTACAAAAATATCTGCTCTTGAACAGGTGAAATGCGACAAACAAATATCACCACAGTAAAATACAACTCCTAAAATATATCGCAAGAATTACAAACACAGGACAACTAAACCTTTATCTGAAATATAAAAAATTACAACAGAAAACATTCTCCTACAAAGTAAAAATAAAATGGCATTAAAAGATAACAAAGTTACTGTTTCATAATGAAAATCTGGACTCCATCCACACACTTCCTTCCTTAAGAAGGCCTTCCTAATGTCTCCACAGCTCCTTTTATTTTTTAAGCTCCCATATTCACAGCTAATTCGATATAGCAACATCATCAATCACCAGAGACAGGCACAACTGGCTGTATTCTCCAAGCCTGGCTCAGATATTCCCTCCTCCCCATCCCTTACACCTATCAAAGCTTTTCTCAGTGCCTCATTTACTTCTGCAACACTGGTGCTCAAGCATATCCTTTTTGTTAAGCTTTCTGTGTATATTAATTACTGTAAGGCAGTTTAGAAATGCAGCATTTTTGCAGCTTCCAATGGCAACTGCAGCCATCAGAGAAAGAGCCCTGAGTTTGGAGCCCAGTAGCCTTGTAACACGCCAGCCCAGCAGGGATGCGAAGTTGACCCTTTACGTGTTTCTTCTCTCCCCCAACAATAAGGCTACGTCACTTGCCACAGATAACAGCATATTTACTATCAGCTGCAATAAGGAGAATTATTACCAGTGTTACTGAATCACATCAGCAGATATGATGTACCGAGCACAGAAAATTACAGACAGTTAACTGCTCCTCTGACTCAACAGTGAATCACCCTGTGCAATCTGTGTGCACGCATGTGCTGCCAGAGCCGCTGGATTCCTCAGCACACCCTCCAGACCTTAATTTGTATTAATAATATAAAGATGCACTCTGAGCTTTTGTGAATTACCAGATAAATTTATCTTGTGTGGAAATTACATTTTCTTTTTCTTTTAAATGAGACAGTCAAAGAGGCTGAATACGGAACTGGAGTATGATGATGGGTGGGAGCATTTTAAGTGACTGATTTTGCAGCACAATGTGCCCTATATTTATTAGCCTTTTACTCTAGGTCTATTTTAATTGTTATCTGTTCATGCATGCTACACTATATAATGAAATGCTCCCATTTCACTCATAGAGTAGAGAGTTTTTTATGTGTATCTCTATTAATGACCCTTAATTAAGTTGATTTTAGTCATTTAAATGTGATTTTCCTCTGGTCAAGAAGTATTTTTAAAGGGAGATGTTGGAAATGAACTTGCACATAAGCCCTTTTCTAATGCTTCTAGTTTAACAGTTTCAGCAATTTATCAGCTAAATTTTCAATGAATGAGGTGTAGGGTAGCCATGGAAAAATCTGCTAATCTACAAGATTCATAAAATGTGACTGTTAGCAACCATTTTTTCGGTATTTATTTATGAAAGGCTTCAAATTTCCAAGCAATTAGCAAACATGTTACCAAAGGATAAACTTAATGACAGTTCTAAGCTACAATAAATACAAGGGTACATCTTAAAAGAGCTAACAAATAAATTTAACATATTTTATAATAATTTAGTCATAGTATCAACAGAAGCACACTACCAAAATTATTTAGGATTGCAAGAATTAACATCCAACTGATGTAGGAAATAAAATCAACTTTCTCTATATATATTAAGTAAGATTTACTTTATCAAAACAATAAACAACATCAAAACCATTGTTCAGATAACTCATTTTTAAATATGCAAATATATATATATTTTAAACTTAAAAAAAAGAATGACAGTGGAGATTTTCTTAGTATATATGTGTTTGAGGGTAAAACACTAGAGATCTTTAATTTGGCTTGTCAGGTCATTTTAATATTATGTCATAATTTTGATTCTTGTGCAAATACTCATTTTGCTGAAACTTCAGAGGAATAAAGTTTAAAGTAAGGTATTAAAAATCACTATGGGTAATAATACGTGGAATCCAACCAATGCAACTAGGTAAGAATATATAGCTTTTTACTGTTAATTACCAAATGTTCCCATTTTTCAATCTAAAATAATGGCTGTGGTTTGATAGATCTTTACTTGTAATTGTAATTCTAACCGTCTTAATAAAACACCGACTCTGTAATCCCCGGGTTGCAAAGGTATGTCCAAGCTTCAAAAATAGGATGGGAAAGATTAAAGGTTCTCTCCAACTCTGTGTAACCTGTGTAGCAGAAGAGCAGCTCACATTTCACAAGCAATAACCTGTGCATTTGCTAAAAAAAAAAAAAAAAAAAAAAAAAAAAAAAAAAAAAAAAAAAAAAAAAAAAAAAAAAAAGAAAAAGAAAAAGAAAAAGAAAAAAAAAAAAGAACAACATAGGGAAATGCCTGAGGCAGAAGTTGAAACTGATTGGGAAAAGTAGAAGGACAAGAGCCCTTGAAATTAAACAAAAGCAAATTCATTCTGTTGACAGATGTTGATTACATCAAAGCCACGAAATAACTTTTTTCTGTATCCTTTTTTTTCCTTTTTTGCAAGAAATACCTCTGTGTTTTCTGTGCATGAAGGATATAACATATCTTAATCAACATAACCCAACACATAATCATTTTTAAATCTGGTAAAATTATATTGTAACGAGGTCTTAACGACAGGCTTCTCCAAACAAGAGTGTATTCACATGGTCATGTCTGCATACCCGTGCTGGTCACGCCATCATCAGCCCCTTACTTCCAGGGGTTAACTGCTCTGGCAGCCAAATAAAATACAGAGAGCGCTGTGTAATTATGGAGACAGTCAAAGGGCAGACTCTATTTTGAAATCTATTTGCACAGACAAGGTCTTCCAATTTCGCTTACAGGAAACAAGCTGGTAAAGGGGGTCTCCTCCTCTCCAGATGCTTTCCACACGTTTTTCCCACATCAGGAAATTGTGGACATGGACACCATGCAGCACTGTTTCCTGGATTGCAGGACTATGTCATTACAAGGAGAAGAGCAAGTCCATGCTCATGAGAAATACTTCCTCCTAATTGCCCATATTAGGGGAAAGCAAAACCCACAAGGACTACTGAAAATGTGACTAGCAGCAATTTGTACACAGGACGCAGCCACAGCTGTCATGATGGTACTGGAAAAGAGAAAACAGAAATGAGAGGGTAAAAACACTCTCGTTTTAATAGCATGATTGGGGAAATGAAATATTCATCAGGATAGATGTGACTTCAGTTACAACAGCAATACATTGGTGAAAACCTTGACAACAGCATGTTTACAACTGCACCCTGATAAACTGAAATACAGACCACTATCTTGCAAACATTATATTCTAATTGTCACTATTTTATTTAATAATTGAAATTAACTGGAAATTAACAACAGAAGTTGTTTAGTTAATAAAGGCATTAACAGAACTGCTGTTCTTGTTACTCTCATAAAAGCCAATAAAGCAGGGCAACAACCAAACGCCGACTGACTCCAAGGGACCTGAGTCAGCCCCTCTGCTGACACCACTGGGACTCCTCAACAACACTGAAAAAACCCAAGTTTGGCCTTCAGGACCAGTGACGCTCCCTGCTAATTAAAATTGTGCCCTTGCTTCATGGCGAGCGGAACCAGGCAATTTGTTTGCTAATACAAATGAGTTTTTAAATTTGGTGTAAATTTATAAACTATACAGAAATACATTCTTGTCTGGCTTTACTTCATATGACTTAGTCTACATCAGCACACTAAAATAATGAATCAGTGTCTTCTGGAATAATGCTGTTCTTATTCATTATTCAGTCAAAATCAGGGCCAACAAAATAGCTGTTCTACAAGTTGGTAAACTGGGAAACCACAGAGAATCAGAACCTCTTCTATTTACAGGAAGGATGACAGCCTAAGGGTACTTCATCCCAATAATAACAACATTCAAGTAATGGTGCCCAGGTCATGACAAGCCATGACCCTCCCCACAGCTCCTTCAGGAAGCTGGCTGGGTGCCACCTTTTATCAGCAGCAACTGACAGTGCAACTTTAACAAACAAGAAGAAAAGGAAAAATTAATTTTATATCCTTAAAAATCTCTTCAACCAATTGAGCAGTTATGTGTACATATATACATATACATACACACACACACACACACACACACACACATAGCGTCACATCATATCAGTATAAAAATAAATTCACTGACTGGAGTAAAATTCTGGTATCATTAAATAGCACTTTCCCATGTTATTATAGGATTTTAAAAATACAGAGTAGAATCTAACTATATCTGAATTACATACATTTGTATACCAAAGGAAATTAATTGTCTATTACAGAAAATGGGACTGGGTTGTACAGGCTTAACTTTGGGAACAGGGCATTGCAGTTCTCCAATAGAGCCTTCCACCCTAGTGTTATTTCTACCACATTTTCTCTCTCTGATAGAGTTACACAAGTAGAAAATAAAAAGGAAGTGTTGCTTAAAGCAGTATCACAGCAAAATGAAACCAGTCAGGTACAAAAGCCGGACAAAGCAATATTAAGAGTTCCACACACAGTTAATATCAGGGGAATTCAGGCTCCAGATCACAGCATCTGGCAAGTTTCAACTTCTGTGACTAGCAGGAGAAACATTCCTCTTATGTTACTGCATTCCTGTATTGAGTAAATTAATTTATCATAAAGTGAATAAATCAGAATGAGAAACATATCTGCTCAGGTTTGCATATTTAAATACATCCTTCAATCACTTTCTATCTATCTTTAGGTGTTTTAAAAGATCAGAGAAATTACTTTCGCTTGAAAGACTGGTTATAATGTTCATTATTTTGATTTTGTAGGGAAGTAACTGTTGGAACAAGTTACTCAGTTTAAAAAATAGCAGTTGTTTCAGATTAAAATAATAAGCTATTCAAATAGTCCTCACACACAAGCACAATACTAAATCTTGTTGTTAATATGCACCCACCCACAGCTTTAACATTCACTGAATCCTACTGGGATAAAATCTTTTCAGGTGCTCTGTGAAACAACTGTTTTTCAACTGGCATGTTTATGTCCTACATACACGCCTGATATGGCATTAAATGTTAAAAATAATTCCTACTTTAACCTCTTAAATTTCCACCTGAAATGGAAAAAAATATCTGAATCACCACAAAAAACGTTTCCCACAGAAACCCTTTCAGTTGGTGAGCAAGGTTGCTGAAATAAGAGTAATTTTTACACAGAAAATTTAGGAGTGCTCCTGAACATTGTATCAGTATTTTCTGTGCAGCTTGAGACACTGGCAGAGAATGGACGGTCAGGAGTCCTTTCCCCACACAAAATGTAAGACCCATTGCAATAATTATTTTGAATACACCTGCAGTCAAATCTCTAAGGGTACAAGATGATTCCTGAATCGTAAGCCAGTTTTATCTCAAAAAAACCCAGCCAACCAACCAAACAAAAAAAGCACCAAAAAAATCCACCAAAACCCAAACCGTACTCTGCTAGCCATTTTAGGGTGAATATCTTAACATAATAAGATTGCATTATTACTCACTTGGTAAAAACTGACAGCTAGCAGTGTTTCCTGCCTTCTATTAAATATTATTAATTACTTGCACTGTCCTGTTTTCACATGAAAACACAAGATACATTAGGACAGTGAGTCTTTACTGAGAAAACATACACGTGTCCTTCGGTAGAGTGAATAGTATAAGGTTGGGGAATTACATCCTATAACCTGGACTTCAAAATATAGGTGTAGGTATATAGCAGATAGGTGTAAGAACTTACAGCTATTTCTACTAAACTATTGCAGTGGTGGTGGAAACAAACTCCTTTTTTTTTTTTTTCAAGATGCTCTGCACAAGGAAGATGTTCCAGTCAAGAGCTTGCTGCAGATAACTTGTAGCTTCCTTATTAAAACATTTATTTTTAAACCTGTCAGTCATTAGTATTGCTATTAATGTACAACCTGAAACCTTATTCATAAATATGTGACATTTGGGTCACTGAATGAATTATAATGATAGGATTATGGATCAAATTTGGAAGTGTACGGTATAATGTTTGGGAGCTGTTATATATATATTTTTAATACCTCTTACTTATCTCCTTGCTTAACATTTACAAAGACCTCTTTCTTATCATAAAAGTCCCTGTTTATCAAACAGTGATACAGGAAGAAGTTGTTTACATTTTCAGAAGTACCAACATACATCACTTATGACAAAAAAAAACAAGCACTCCATACGAAATGCTCAATCACTGTCAATCATACTCACTAAAATATACATAAACCAAAGCATGTGGTGTGAACTATATTAGAATCGAACTGAACACAGAATTACAACTATAACAAATAAAAACCAAATAATTACAAGTGACTCATAGGCCTATTTACACATCTCACCAAACTGCTGGAAAGGTGGGTAACCATAGAAACCTGACAGCCTAAATTCAGTACTTTAAAATTTGTATTTAGTTTAAAATGCTGAAAATGATGTTTCTATTTTACAAAATCCATATTTTTAAAGGCTTCAGTTTTTGCTTTGGTACTTAAATAAATGTTTAAAATTATCTCATAATTTGCCTTTTAGATTCGATTTTATCCAAGTAAAGATTACTGTTTACTCTTTGTAATATAAAATATTAATATATTTTAATACTGTAAATTAATATTTCTAACATTTCTTTAATGATTGAAATTAAATAATGATACAAACCAAACACTCCTGCACTTACTATCAAATGTTTTGCATATAGACTTTCCTAAGCTGCACACCAGCAAAAAAAAAAAAAAAAAAAAAAAAGAGATTACACAAATTAACTGTTAAAGCTGAAATGCTAATAGCCTTTTCAACTTATAGTTCTTTTTCACTGACAATTACAATTTGCATGGCTTAAAATTTAATACTATGATTAGTACTAATGTCCTATATTTTACTTCATAATCTAAATGAGTAAAATATTATTTTTGTAGTTCACCGGCTCTTATGCTTAGGCTGTAATGTTCAGTGTGTATTTCATTATGCAGATGAGCAATGGATGTCGTCTAACATGATTTAAATGGGTCAACAGTATTTTCCTATTCACATTAATCATCCAGACAGCCGCCAAAAAAAAAAAAAAAAAGTGCCTTGAAAACTAACCTAGGAAACCTCTTTTTATCACCGACTCTTCGCACACACCAGCAAACACATGCTACGGGAGATGGGAGCCCCGCACACCAGGGAGCCGCGGCTGGGCGCTGCTCCCCTGGCTGGTGCACAGCTCTCGCTGGGGCCGGCAGCGGGCAGTGCTCCCCGGGCTGCCCGCGGCCCCGTGCCAAGAATGATTCTTGTCCCACGATGTTCAATGGGAGCTCTGTGTTGACAAACTGAGCAAATTTGAATCAGCAAAATTCGTTCTTGGCACAGGGACACGCAACTGTGCTGAATGCAAAGGCGTGCTGCCCGCTGATGCTGCACTGGCAGACAGGCTCTTCTTGCGTAAATACACTTGTTGGAAAACTCCCACTAAAGTCACAGGACACAGGATCAGGCCAATTATCTATAAAACACATCAAAATTAAGGTCTCTATTCTCAAGCCATGTAACCATCATCTATGGGCCATTTCATATATAGTGTATTGCAAATAAAATAATAATTTATAAATAATAGCGATTCTGCGGAAAGGGAAGCTGCTCTAATACATGCCAAAGGGAAAGAACATTAATACGAAACAGGCAGAAAGTAACAAGAAGATCAGATACCAAATATTAAGACTCATTTACTCAATGAATATAAATTTAGGATTAAAAAAAAAAAAAAAAAAAGAGGAAGTGATCTGGATTCCCTCAAACACAAAAGTACTGCTGTGGCACAAAATCTCTATAAAGGCAGAGGTGACACGTTTGATTATATTATGGTGTAACAAGGCTGGCAGAGCTTTGCCTGGGAAACACCACATTC